ATTATATACCTAAAACAAAAAATAATTATGTCATTGTTATGTTGTTTTAAGATTGACAAATTAATAGAAATAAAATGTCTATACTTTATAACTGACTGAATTCAGATTTTTTGCATTGTGCATTTGTACACTCGATAACCATAGTTTCTGAAATTCCTCAGGGTTGGTATACAAATGATTGGTTTTGGGAACAGGGATAATTTTTTTCCACATTTTTGCATGCTTCATAATACCATGGTAGATTCTGCCTTATATTAACAATGGAAGCAACTAATAAAAACTTCATTTCCTGTATCATATAAAATGTAAAAATTATTAAAATAAATTATGCAAAAATAAAATGTAAAACATATAAAATAATGCAATATACCTTAATTGGTTCGGTGATCTCACAGATTGTTTTTAATGGAAAATTGCCCTTAATGTCATCTGTATATGAAAGTAGCTTTGAAGTGTAGTTATGCTTTTTTCAGTTATACCGAAATTGTCATGACATTTCAACCTGTAATGTTTAATTTAGATTCATGAATATTAGGTTTTGTGTTTTTTTTAAGTTAAAATACATTATAAAAAAATAAAAAACAATTGGAAGATAACTTATTTTTAAACTCATTTATTCATAAATGTCAGAATTTATGAACAATTTCGTTACTTCAAAATGACTTTTAGCTTCACCAAGACCTGTAAAAATGTATATCCAATTATTAAAATTTATATAAAAACAGTAATTATAAACATCTATATATAAAGACTGAATACAAACCATTCCAAATGTTTAGCTTCAAAACTGCATCACGATAACAACAAAATTAACAGTCGGGTTATTTTTAGGTATTTGAAATTTGATATGCTTGACTTCCAAAAATAGTAACCTTCAGATGTACAGAACTAAATAAACCATAAAATAGTATATTAATATTAATTTGTGATTAATTAAAGATAATAAATAATAAATAAATAATACAATATAATCTCACTCTAGGTTGCTAAGAGTGACTTTTATATAATGCTTGGATGGTACTGGATTTGAAGTTTCAAGAGGCCTAAATGACACGATATGTCCAATAACATCTACACAACAGATACCACACAAAAATAAAAGTTTAGGATTAAATTCGTAATATTTAAATAATAAAATGTATAACGAAAAAAACAAATGATAAAAATTAATTTATTAATATTTTATGACTAACCAAAGAATGTGTCTTTTAGGCATGTTTGTTCTATGATAGAATTAAAGTCAACAAACATAAATCCATTGACCGGACCCGAGAAATCATTACATTTTTTTAGGATGCTTTTCCAATCCAAAGTTAAGGTCTGTTTATGACCTGTATAACTAAAACCATTAGTAACAGCAGCCATATTGGGTTTTATAACTATATAACTTTCATCTTCCTTTAAAAGATGACGAAATCTGGAGAAATTCTGATTGAAGACACGAGCTTGGTATTGTGTACCCTGTTTAAAAAAAAAATTAAAATTATTATGTTCATGAAATGTCTAATATTGAATGATGAATAAAAAATATATCAAATACAACAAAACCTCCTCATCCATGATGATCATTTCAATGGAACAACTTTATTATTTCTGACAAAGTTCCAAATTTTAAGCACCCGAACCTTGATATGTGATTTTCATCTATCTGGTCAATGTTATTTAGGTAAACCTTATTTCCTATTTCCATTTTTCAATAAATTTAATCATTATAGAATTGTAAGGAAAATTAGCAACCTTTTAAATTAACAGCAAATCAAAGTAAATGAAACAGCAAAAAAAAAAAAACATATTGTAATAGTTAAAGCTTTGAGGTTGTATGGATTGGGGTTAAAGATGTTCGCATATTGGAGTCAAATGCAGTTCACGTGTAAAAGCAAAAATGTTCGCATTTGGTAATACAAATCAAAATTGGGTTTCGCATATGAGGTTGTATGGATTGGGGTTAAAGATGCGAAGGTGATTATGGTTAATATTCATTTCGTATTTGGTGAGACAAACAACTCAAATGCGAATGAACTAAAAAAAAAAAATGACTGGAACATGCGAAGAAAGAGGGTGAATGAAGAATGTGAATTTTACAGTAGAATGCGAATTGGGGAAGAAAGCTAAGAATTTCGCATTTTTATTATAAAAATTGATTGATTGATTGATTTGTCTTAATTGTTAATTGCGATATATGAAATACTTATCAAGTTAGGGGCAATATGGTCATTTTGAAGTAAAAGAAGCCTTGGTTATTAAATGAATCATACGAAGGATTGTTATTTGATTTTGGAATTGGCGAATAATCGAACGATTTGGAGTTGCGAATTTGATTTTGAAAAGCCAATCAGTTGGGTTCGCTTAAAAACAGATAAGTTTTGATTTTATAGAATAAATTTAATGACCATATTGCCAATCAGTTGGGTTATATGAATTCCATTTTCTGCAATAAATTTAATCATTATAGAATTGTAAGGAAAATTAGAAACCTTTTAAATTAACAGCAAATCAAAGTAAATGAAACAGCAAAACAAAAAAAACATATTCTAATAGTTAAAGCTTTGAAGAACAGTTTTTTTTAAAGAAAATAAAGTTCTCATTTTTATTACTAATTTCGTATTTTGTAATCATTTTCATTAACATTTACGTCTTTTAAACTGAAAAGGTAGAAGAAGAACATGATTAAGAAGAATTAGCAAAAGGAAGAAGAAGAACATCACTAATAAAATGAAAAATGATAGAAACTGGTAAATCAGACAATTAAGAGGTTAGAAATATTAGTAATGCTGATATTTTAATACACTAACCTGATATTATAATTTTTGAAGCGTTGCAGAATCAAGAAGAATGAAGAAGAATACGTTTGCAAATATTACTATAGAGCAGAATTCGTCTGGAGCAGAATGGTAAAAAGAAAATAACCGTATGAATGCTATTTACGATTGAATAAATAAGAATAAGAATTAAGAAGATTACGTTTGAAAAAGAATAATATTGCAGATTTTTAGGGATTTAATTTGCAATCAAAATAAACAAACTTTCAAAATTAATGCGTGTTTTTCGAATCTGAAGATTGATTAACATATTTGTTTGCAGATTTTTCTGGAATTATTGAATTTGGATTGTATGGCATTTACGTAAATATAGATGAATAAAATGAGCGGGAAAACTCTATTTTGGAGGTCTTATAGATTGACACGTGGCAGAGTTCTACTTATTTATTAGAATTAGGATAAGAACATCCAAGGTATTATCCTAATCTAACATACAAAACAATGAGTGTAACAAGATAGAATACATACCTCTTTGATGTAGAAAGTCTTCATGAAGCTTGAGTGCCTAGCCCCAATAGTGTGGAAGCCTCAAATGGAATCACAATCATCAAAACTCTTAGAATAATTTGAGAGAGTTCTACACTTCATGAAATCGGCTAGCCCTTTTGTTACTCTATCTAGTGGCCGATTTTTGTCAAGAATAAGATCATTATATAGTGTTACAATTAGGGTAAATCCTTAATTGTCATGGCTTTCCATTTCCTTGGATCCATGGGTTCAAATACACCATGGAGCATCCATGGACCATCCTATGGGTTTTAGCCCAACTTGATTATCCATGGAGCATTAGCCCACTATATAAGTATGGATGATTTACACAATCAACCCATATATTTAATTAGTCTTCTTTTGATCACTTAATTAATCCTAGATTAATTCTTGATCAATACTAATTAAATAATCTTATTATTCTTATTATTAATATACTAGAACTTATAATATATTAATAACCATAAGTGTCTTATTTCTCTCATTATAGTCTATCCAAGTGCATGATGGTATGCAACCCAAATGGACCATGCCGGGTCGGGTCAAGTCTTACCAATTATAGTTATGGACTTAGACATTAATCCAACAGTCTCCCACTTGGATAAGTCTAAAACTATTATTGCGTATGACTTCAGGAACCAACCGGCAATCATAGCTCTCAAAAGCTTCTGTCGAACTCTGACCTTGTAGATGAACTCTGATCTAGTCAATGACTTGTCCATTAGATAAGGGATCATATAATCCTCTGTTCTCATGATATCAGCTGGACAAATACATGGAACAATGTCGTACTTATTGTCCAGCAGTTTGTTTCCCGATTTTCGATTTGTTTGACAAAGAACTTAATCGAACACATCAATTCAGTTCTGACCGGCCGGTACATAGGTCACAACAAAATCATCGAGGGGCCCAGATATCGCTTCTATTTCTATAAGGAACAGATAAACTTCGACTCATATACTTGTTCTACTACTTGTTGAATTGTACACAAAGGCCCGTTTTATAACATCAAGTTACTGATGTGTTTACATGCAATCAATGCACAACCAACTCATAGGTAACAACTCATATCTCTAGGTTTGAAGATTTATATGATATTACCGTCTCACAATCACTCGAGATAAATTCCATGAAGTGATTCAAGTGAGTGTGGGTTTATTCCAATACTCATAACTTATGAGCACTCATGAATGTTGTAGCAACAATTGCCATGACTAAACTCATTTAGCCATCTACAAACCCGATTCATGAAAGTCTTGATTCATACCTACTTCCAACATATGAACGACTGTGGAGTGTTTAAATAACTTAGTCATTCGAAAAGAATAACCTAGCTATTTTGGAAGTCAAAACATGCAAAGTGAAACACAGTAATAATCGAATCTAATATGGTCTCAGAACCCTTTTGAATATAAATAAAACCACCTTTTATTTATCACCATATTGATTACACATTATTCAATGTTTCAAATAATCAACTTAAGACTTGAATAAAAACAATAGTCATCCCATGCTCCTAGCATGTACACTTTGTTTTCTAAACAATAGTTATGCAATACTCCAAGTATGCACACTATGTTTGTCTATGATCCTTACATTGTGATGTAGATCAATTGAACATGATTCCAATGATACTCATTTCACAATCCCAAATCCTTATTGTAAATGCAAGAATTCCAAATTCATGTCATTTACTGAAATCTGTTAGATTCTAAACTTATATGCATTGATCCTCTTGTAATGATTATGCACGGAGTCAGAAAGACTTGACAACAACCATTACAGAGCATTCCAAAGGAGATCAGCTCCTTGGGAACATCCTTCTTGCATTAAGTTTCCTAATCTTACATAGATTGAATAACTTCCACCTATGGAGACATTTCCATAGTCCCATTTTGAATATCACTTCCGAACAAGAGTTACTTCTTTTCAGAAAATGTCAATATGGTCCTACTAAAATTAACACTATACTTCCAAATGTCCTTGAGCAACCAATCTTTGTCAAACCTCAGATTGTCCTCGACAATTGCTTAATCACTTTTAGTCATATCCAGTTCTAGACTTTTCCCTTCTCAATGCCTTAAGCATTTGGAAAATTTAGAAAGGATGAATATTATAGCACATGAAATCGATCCTATATCTGAAGCATATGGGACACGATTCATGATGTTTGACATAAAGACATGATACTAGACCAGTCTTTTGCTACAATATTTTTTATTTGCCATGTTTTCAAAATTTAACTATGAAGAGGGATGCCGTAGTCATAATTGAATTTTGAGAACACAATATATATAGAATTTCCTCAAGTTTGAACCATTCCAACATGAAATTCATATATATTATTGACTAAAAAATGCTTAAAATCTCAATCTAAGCTTTAGAATTGAAATGAAGTATAATTTCCTCTCCCTTAATTATAGCAAAACAACTTTTCGTTTTCTATAATGAACATTGCTAGCTTGCAATACTAATCATAATAATAATCATGCTCCCACTAACATGATGATTATTAGCATAACACTTATGCTCCCACTAGCTCTGACATATTTCCAGAAATTTGCTGGACTTCTGAAATTTAGATTCATACATCCTTTCTTAGATAGCTCACATGTGTGTCTAAATAATTTTCAGAACTATGAAAAGGGATGCCGTAATCATAGTCTCAATTGCTTAGGCATTTTCCATTTCTCATAAGTCCATGTTAGTGTGCCAGTTAACCACACACGCCCCACTAACGACTTTTGAAAATGCAAATAACACAATTGATATCTACGTAAAATCTACTTAGTGAAAGCGTTTCCTCACCATCATTTTCATGAATCGGAGAGAAACCTTATGACACTTAGATTTTATAGTGTATGAGTTCCTATCCATGCGAATTTGTCAAAACCATAATCACAAGATAAGGTTAGTGACAAATTCAGCCTTACATGGATTAAACTTATTCAATCTTACTTTCTTGTCACCTTGGTAGCACAAGGCCCACCAATGCTTCCAAGTTGAACTCTGATAACTCACATGCAAATTCAACTTATTTGAAGTAGGTACAGAAATAGAATTATGTCAACACGATAGGTTGCAAACCTTAAGTCGTGTGCTAGTGATAAATTACAGGTTTCACTCTTGATTAAATCTTGAAACTCTTTCAGGATCTTTAAGGCTCCCACTGTCCCCTTGACATATAAGTTTTCCTAGTCAAGAACCATTCCTTGACAAAACAAATATTCAAGGGATAGTGCGGATTCTTAT